AGCCCAGGAGTTGGAGGTTGCTGTGAGCTGTGATGCCATGGCACTCTGCCCAGGGGGACAGCTTGAGGCTCTATCTCAAAAAAAAAAAAAAAAAAAAAAGAGAGAGAGAAAAGAAAATAATTTCTTTCTAATAAACACTTGAGCATTTTACTTTCTCTTTTTCTTTTCTTTTTTTTGGAGGGGTATGGATATTTTGTCTTTCTTGGCTCTACAAGTGGGCACAGAGAGGCTTTTCTACCAGGAGTCATGAGGGATGCAAAGGCACTGGGCCAAGAGTCTGAAAACCTGGGAGTCCAGACCCAGCTCTGCCCTACTTTTCTTCCCTTAGGCAAGTCCTTACATCTCTGAGCCCCCATTTTCCTATGAGGTAGGGAGTTAAGTGCTAGCAAGAGGCAACTTAGCAGAGGTTCCCAATTCCCTTCTTAGGATCCTCACCACCTACTGTGTGGCATGAACACAGGAAGAACTCTCTGCCTACTCAGCTCAGCTCATTTGTTTTCTTTTGTTATTTTTTTTGGAGAGACAGAGTTTCACTTTATTGCCCTTGGTAGAGTGCTGTGGCCTCACACAGCTCCTGGCAACCTCCAACTCCTGGGCTTAGGCAATTCTCTTGCCTCAGCCTCCCAAGCAGCTGGGACTACAAGCGCCTGCCACAACACCTGGCTATTTTTTTGTTGCAGTGTGGTGGGCCTGGGCTTGAACCCACCACCCTCAGTATATGGGGCCAGCGCCCCACCCACTGAGCCATAGGCGCCGCCCTCAGCTCACTTATTGTTCAGATTTGTATTAAGCATCTACTGTATGCCAGGCTGATGCTAAGGACACAGCAGAGAACAAAAAATCATTATTCCAACAACTGTGTTGAATTTGTCTTCTGAACAGTCAGCCAGGTGATAGTCCTATAGTGATGATGATGGGGTGGTATGAGGACAGAGGAAGGAGGCTGAGAGGAGAGGAAGGAGTTGAGAGTGCCTGTGCTGTAGAGTTTCTGAGGACTTCATGAACATGAAGAATTCTAAGCAGTGCGTGGCACCTGGGAAGTGCTTAGTGAATGTGAGCAACATCGCTCAGTGTTGTTGTCTACCATCTCTTCCGCATTTAGACTATTACAGGCAAATGCTCTCTCTGGGGCACATGGTCATTCACCCGGTTTAGACATTCAGGTGCATTCATTGTCACCCTTGAGAAGCCTCCAGGTTTTGGTCACATGCTTATTGTACTCAATCTGGAACAGACCTCATTGTGATGGCCTTGGCTTGTACAAGCCTGCCAACCTCACACTGGCCCCAGCCCTGGTGGTCAGTGCTCCTGTACTCTGGGCACCCCTCTCCCCACAGCCCAAAGACATTTAGTAGTTCGCCACTCCACACAGAAATTCTAAACTCTTTAAAAGCTGCGAGATGTGGTAAAAAATGCACAGGCTTTGGGGCAGGTGGACCTAGGCTCAGATCCCAGCTCCTATACTCACTAGGTCTGTGCCTATGACCCTTCACTTCTTATCTCTACAGTAGAGGCGATGGTGCTACTTGAAGGGAATTGGGCCTGGTAACATGTATCCAGCACTAAGCACAGCTCTTGCCATAAAGGGAAAGATTTAGGAACCACTAACCTTCCTGGTTTTGCCCTTTCCATCTTTATAGTGCCCCAAAAGAGGAAGGGCCTAGAGAAGAAACTGCTAAATGTAGTAGTCAAAAGATACAATATAAAAAGCCACTCTGGTTCTCCCCCTGTCTCATCTTCAACCTAATTCCCTCTGGTAACGGAATGGCTGCCAAGATCCAGGCCTTGTATCCATACCTGTTATCATCCAGAAGAGGGTTGGGTTGCTGGACACAGTTGCTGTGGTCTAGCCTTGTTGCTAGCCATGGAGTCAGTCCTGGGCAAATGGCAGGGCTGTCCCACAGTGAAGGGGAAATAGAGGCCAGAAGCTGGCAGAACCAGCTGCCCCAAGATAAACTGTCCTCTTCCTGGGGCCCATCAGTTTTTCGCATAATATCTTCATACTTCATCTAGCAACAGGCAGATAGTGTCCATGACACAGTATGTCTCAAAAGAAAAAAAATTGCAAGGCCCCCAAACTGGAGCTCTCTAGCACACTGAACTGTTGACTCTGGCAGAATTTAACTATTTTGTGGGAGCCACTGAATCTCTGAATCTGGTTGTGTTCTGGCCTCATTTGCATGTCTGCTTGACACTTCCACCTTGCTCAGTCAGCCTCACAGGTAAGTGTGTCTGCTTTGCCTGCTGCAGGTATCTTTACTTAAAGGTGGTTTCCTGGTGCTCCTGTGTTGACCACAGTGTGGTCTACAGGCTGCATCTGTGGCCCAGTGTCTGGCCTATGCCACACTTTGTTGACATCCAGTTTTAATGACTGTGACTTTACTCTTAATGCTAAGCCACCTTCTCATTTGGGATTTGATTTCAATTGTTTTTGTAGGATGAGCCCAGGCTTCTACAGGAATGTAGTGAAGATTCAGAAGCATGTTACCTTCAACCAAGTGAAAGGGATTTTCGGTTTCACTGACAGTGACAGCATTGGTAAGGAGTGTGTTGCTGTCTCTAGTCCCACCTTACTCCCATCCAAGAAGAGATGAGTTCAGGAGAAGGAGCAGACACCTAGGTTAAGTATCTCTTAGATGTTAGCATTTGCAATTATCTCCTTAAAGAGGACTCCCCAGTCGTGGGTTTCCCCGGAACAAAATGCATTGAGTCACTTTTTTTTTTTTTGAAATCGAGTCTACTTTGTCACCCTCGGTAGAATGCCATGGCCTCATAGCTCCCAGCAACCTCAAACTCTTGGGCTTAAGTGATTCTCTTGCCTCAGCTTCCCAAATAGCTGGGACTACAGGCACACACCACAAGCTAGCTATTTTTAATTTTTTGGGGGGGGTCAGGGATGGGTTTGAACCTGCCACCTCCAGCATATGGGGCCAGTGCCTTACTCCTTTGAGCCACAGTGCCGCCCTTTTTTTTTTTTTTTTGAGA